CCCCCCCCCCACCTCGTTACCATGGAGCGTAGAATTTCACCAGCATGGTCTCGTGCCCCGTTGCCAGGTAGTCGAAGTCCGCGTCGCCGAGCTCGAGCACATCTCTGCGCGAGCGCACCGCGGCGGGAAAACAAAACAACAGCGCAACCGTGACGGCGGGAAAAAGGCGGGGGGCGGCCGCCATGTTGGAGTGAAACGGTTAATGATTTTAGATGGTAGAAATTAAAACGTATGAACAGGAGACGGTACCCCGTCACACACCGAGGGCAGCCTCTGCGCGACACTCAGCGTCAATATCGAAGAAGTAACTCGCGTTTCCGGTCATAGACTCCAAAATAAAAGTTCCTCTGTGTCAGAAGCGGAACATTTCAAAGTCAACAGAAAACAAGGATTCGTCTCAAAAGGAAACTCGGTCACATTTATTTCTTTGTGACGCAACTGAGACATAAATCACTCCATTTTAATGTATCCGTTATTATCTGGTGCTTTTATTGTGAAGGCAGCATTACTGTTTCCGGTACTCCCTGTGAAACTTGACCATCCCTCTACTGTCAAATGAAAGGCGGGACATCAAGAGAAAATACCGGAAAGCTGCTCTCCGATTGGTCCACAGCGCTAAGAGGTGACGTAATGTAGCTCTCTCATTGGTCCAAAACCTGTCAGTCATGACGCGCCCCCTGCTGCCCGCCACGTTCCTGTCATTAGAAAATAATAAATAAAACATTAAATAAATAGATATTTAAAAGAATGTTACTGTCCGTTAATTTTTTTTAAACAATGTAACTGTCCATTCAAAAATTAAATAATAGTCAGGGTCACTCCTGATTTCAACCTTCGTCCAAAATCTTGGGGGAAAGTTCAGAGTCTGACAAACCCCAAAGACTCAAGCCCTGAACCCTCACTGACTTAACTGACGTCAGCTGTAAGTGATTGAGTGTGGGAGTCTGAAAGGGCTCCGGATGCTACAAACAGGAATGGGACAGCACTTATCCCTCTCTACAAAATGTTGTTCATCATTTATCTGTTATTGTCAGCACGCACAAGGTGTGTGAGGGACAGACTCCCTGATCAGTCAATCCTTATCCAAGCACTTGTGTTGCAAAATGGGCAAGAGGTAAGTTTGGAATAATGAATTTACTGTGTTTTTACCATGTGCATGTTTTTTCTAAACTAGCATCAAAAGTGCTGTAAGTGATATAGTGATATCTATCTTATGTATATATATATCGTTACCGTTTGCAGATCTGCCGACCGTGTTTATTTGTTTACGTTTTTTAACACTTCCGGTGTTCCGAGGGCAACCCCTGTATTTGACGTCACAGCGCTATGAACTGTGGGTAATTTCCTTACCGTAAGTCCGCATCGATGCTGACCTACGGTAAGGGGGCATAAAGGGCTCACTCACTGACTCACTGACTCCACGATTTGACAATGGGACAGCCCTCACACACTCACACACTTCACATGAACGCGCCTCTAAGTCAGTGAGTCTGTAAGGGATCGGATTGGAATTGGGCCACAATGACAAATGACTCATTTCTATGGCTACTGTGCGTCAACGTCGCCGCCATCTTGGATAGGTCACTGCCGGCTGGCTAGTACTGTTGTGTATGGAGATAAGTCTTCAGCGAACTCGGCGTGCTCACTCAAAAGTCTCAAAGTGTAATTGGGTGCTGGTCCAAAAATTACAGCAAAGCGGNATAAAACTCTGAATTATCACATACCTGCATTCTGTGAAGTTTTTGAATACTCAAGAATGACATTTCAACACATTTGTTTTGCAATTCAAGGGACACTGCACTGAGATGGATGCAAAGCACTCTTTATTTCACATTAATACAACTGAAATATTGTTTTAAACAAAAATAAAATGCATCCATTATTGTCACTGAAAAATTAAATTATAATGAAACAAACAACACAAATATGGCAAGTTGGTAGAGAAGCACAAATAACTATTTGTGCTTCTCTACCAACTTACCAAGAATCCCTATGAGGGTGTCCATCTGAGCCTCTTTTCTTCTCCCTCTCCTCCTCCCTGGTGTCCAGCTCCCTCTGCCTCTTCTCCTGCCTTTCCCCATAATCCTTCAAATACTCAGGACCTCATTTTTTCTTTTTGTTGGGGTTTGTTTTGAGGACCCAGGCAGTGGGTCTGGCGTGGCGGATGGCCCAGAAGAAGGGGCAGTGGATGGCCCTGCAGAGGAGCTGGATGAGGCAGCGGGCGCCGTTGCCTCCTCTTCAGCATCCGTGTCAATGGCGGTGGCGATGGGGTTCAGAGGTTTTATGGAGTCCTTCTGCCCCATCACCTTATGCATCTCCTCACAATAGGGCCAGTTTCCGGATGTGCTCTCACCACACTCGGTCCCTGACCCTGTTCGCGGTAATATCAGGTCCTGTGTAAAGAAAGACAAGGGTCAGTTCACACATTTCATATTCTGATGAAACCTTAATGGTTATTTATAGGACTGGAGCCAGATAATTCTCGAAGCTTCACCACCAGTGTAAAGGAAAACACCCAGATACAGAAATACATGTGATCCAGGGGCCCATTCACCAGATAACACAAGATAATACTCTGTTTACCCTTTATCTTTATCTTTTCTTCAAATTCTCCCATTTTTTTGAGGCCTGGGCTGAGGTTACCTCATTTTGGAGACCCATCGCCTTTATGACCAGACTGATGACAAAAGCAGGATAATGGCTCCATTATATTATTACTATACCCCTGACACCCCCCCCCCCCCCCCCCCCCCCCCCCCCCACACACACACACACACACACACACACACACACACGTGTAGTTGTGCCATCACACAGACACTACACACATAGGCTACATAAATCAATAAATCCATAAACAAACAATGAACAATATATAGTATGTGAACATAACAAGGAAATATGCAACCTCAGAGCCACTGTGCATAAATTACCTATTTCCGACTATTCCAAGCTTTATATATATATAATTGTGTTTAATTCATCCTTTGGCAACATTGTCATTAACTGACATTTCTAAAGTTTGCTAGGTGAGTACTTACTCAAAACCCTGACTAGAGGCATTCCTGTGCCCAGTAAACTGCGCCTCATGTTCCATCCTCAGTCTGATGAAGGTGATGGTTTGTTGTTCTGTCCCTGTTTGTAGACACAAAAAATGTTCTTGGATCAGATGTGACGGAAACATCATACTACAATAATTACAATAATTACAAACTACATATAGTTGTAAATAGCAACATTGATACTTAGAAGTAAACTTCTATTTTCGCTCTCCTTCCATTACGTTTGCATATCTGCTGACCGTGCGTTCGTTTTTTTTTATAACACTTCTGGTGTTCCGAGGGCAACCCCTGCATTTGACGTCACAGCGCTATGAACTGTGGGTAATTTCCTTACCGTAAGTCCGCATCGATGCTGACCTACGGTAAGGGGGCATAAAGGGCTCACTCACTGACTCACTGACTAAAAGATTTGACAATGGGACAGCCCTCACACACTCACACACTTCACATGAACGCGCCTCTAAGTCAGTGAGTGTGTAAGGGATCGGATTGGAATTGGGCTAAAGTTTCTGTGGCGGCCATCTCCCCAACACGGAGGTCTCCCTCTCCGCGGAGCACCCACAGCGCACGCCCGGCTTGTTAAATAGCCTGTAACCATGACAACTGTGTGACACAAACTCAGTGCTTTAGTCATTAAATAATGTCGGGCTCGGTTCGGTTTTGGACATAACAAAACAGAATGACTGTCGGGTTCGGACAGAAATATGCACTCAAACACACACACACACAAGGAAAACCGGACATTATCATAATTTATAAACACCCCCCAGACAGGACGTCAAATGTGGACATGTCCGGGCAAAAGAGGACGTTTGGTCAGCCTGTTATTACTACTCTTGGCAACTAGCTAGGTAGTCTTGACCACTGGATGACGTACTTAGCTAACGTTGAACACACTACATGCGTTTACGCGGAGCCATGTTTTCCTTTTGCATTCAGGTTGGAAGCCATACCCGAATAGAAGCGCTCCTTGTAAACACCTCAACGAATGAAAACAGCCAACCTGAAAGAAAATCTTATCGGCTGCACAGGGGTGGAATATTCCTTTTCAGAACCCGAATGGAAGAATTTTTCTGTCCTGTATACACCTCCTACCCGATTCCAGCGATTCCGTTCTCTCTGCACATGCTCGTTTCCTTGCCCTTCTGGTGCGATGACGTATATAGCGCGCATAGCAACAGGCTGAGATAGAGCAGTCAGTCAGCAGCAGTACCGTTTCATGTGATTAATAAATCAATCAATCAATCAATCAATTTTATTTATAAAGCCCAATATCACAAATCACAATTTGCCTCACAGGGCTTTACAGCATACGACATCCCTCTGTCCTTATGACCCTCACAGCTGATCAGGAAAAACTCCCCAAAAAACCCTTTAACGAGGAAAAAACGGTAGAAACCTCAGGAAGAGCAACTGAGGAGGGATCCCTCTTCCAGGACGGACAGACGTGCAATAGATGTCGTACAGAACAGATCAGCATAATAAATTAACAGTAATCCATATGACACAATGAGACAGAGAGAGAGAGAGAGAGAGAGAGAGAGAGAGAGATGCAGGTAATGACAGTAGCTTACAACAACATTATTGAAAGTAATAATATTATAGTTATAGTTCTGGCTACTGTGGTACAATATGTTGAAAGTATGTATTAATATCTGGCAGTATACATGTGTGACAATAGTCATATGTGTATAATAACAGTAGAAGTATGACTAATGACTAATGATGGCAGCAGCAGCAGGAGGCATCTGGCAGGACCACGGCAGCAGCACAACCACACACGTCACGCTGTCCAGGCACCGCTGCGATATGAGTTAATCTGAGAGACAGTGGAGCACAAAGGCTCCGGAGAAGAAGCCGAGTTAGTGACATCCAGAATGGCCGAGTTAGCAAGATGCAGTAATAGGATGAGAGTGAGAGAGAGAGAGAGAGAGAGAGAGAGAGAGAGAGAGAGGGAGAGAGAGGGAGCCCGGTGTATTATAGGGGGTCCTCCGGCAGACTAGGCCTAAGTCAGCCTAACTAGGGGCTGGTACAGGGCAAGCCTGAGCCAGCCCTAACTATAAGCTTTATCAAAGAGGAAAGTCTTAAGTCTAGTCTTAAATGTGGAGACGGTGTCTGCCTCCCGGACCGTAACAGGAAGATGATTCCACAGGAGAGGAGCCTGATAGCTGAAGGCTCTGGCTCCTGATCTACTTTTGGAGACTTTAGGGACCA